GTATTTACATGTGTATGTGTGTGGGTCAACAACAGAGTTGATTTTAAAGACAGTATACAGCTATATAACAGAGATGCTATTATGAGATAGAATTACGCGTGATAAAAAATTAATTTCTGAGTTTCTTATAAAGTAATACATCTGTTTACTAAAAATAGCAATGACGGGAAAAATAACAAGCAGCGTTCTATTCCCGTGAAAGCTATTTTGAATACAAGTCATATTTCTCTTCTTATTCCATTTTGGTCCAGCGTACAATAACATGTTGTAATAGGAGATGGTAAGAGAGATGTAAACTTAATGGGACAAGGATGGGATTTGAATTTAAATAATGCATTCTTGTCCTAGCTGCACATTTGTAAGATCTGAACATATAAATAAAATCTACTCTTCTTTTTTCCCTTCAAATACCGTTAGTTGAAATATAATTGAACGCATTTAGACAATTCTATAATGACACAACTTGAAAAGAGTTTAACATATCTGAATCAGTTCGAATAAAGAAACAGCATGCGAAAATTTATGGAAGTTAAGCTTAATTTTCGAAATTCTTTCGGAATTTTGTAGCGTTACGTTTGCAAAGGATTCGCGATACGGATGCTCACGACGAAAGTTGAAATCGCCTCGTCGAATCGACACATTTCTTTATGAGCTCAGTCAACCATCGAACCCCCTTTTTATGGATTCCTATTTCTTTTCTCCATCTCGCCTTCTGTATCCGATGAATGTCGTTTCAAAAGTTCAGAACGTCGGAACTTCACCAGAGCGCAATCTTCCGCGTTGTATATTCCGCCATCGCGATGGGGCGTCTGAATCTGTCATAGTTATCCGCGTCTTTTGGACAATCTCCTTCGAGCAAATCTCTGTTTTCAACAACAATATGCGCGCACGCGCGTCCATTTATTATCAGCTGAATATTTTTGCCGCCAAATACGCGGATGGCAAGTCCGAGTCATTAAAGGTCTTTGTTTGCCGGAAGAACTGACGTTTTGGAATGAGCGATAGCGACGATATCTCAAGTTACGGTATCCGCCCGTTGGTTGTCGTCGTGCTGACTCTCGGCGAAAAGATTCGAGATCGTCGAGAAGTTGCGGATGTCGGGACAGATGAATGGGAAGTAACGGAGAGCCAATCGTGCGGCTATAATAGCCACGCAAAACTAGTCGGAAAAGTATTGGCACGGGGCATCGGATGCCCGATCGACCGAGACTCTCTAAGTTTGCGACTGCATAGTCAACGGAAGATACGCAGATGGGAAAAAAAAGAGGGAGGGAAAATCAGAAATTACCTCGGAGGTATTTCCCGTTATTCGCGATTAATCGATAGTCATGTCGCGACGTTGTAATTTATAAACGAAACAACGGGGATCACACGAATAAAAATGAATCATACGCTTGGAAAACAAGAGAAAAAGAGAAAAAAAGAGAAAAATTTGTTCCGAAGAGCATAAAGTAGAAAGCACATGTCTCACGTTTCGCACGAATAATCCTTTACTCTTGTATTACTCTTTGCTTTTATTGATTTGTTCGTAAATGAATTTGTCACTATCGATAATCCAGCCATATGAGCGCGTACAGAATCATAATATATAATTTGTGGTTGATTTATGGCTTTGTACCGTAACGTATATTACAAAATAAAAGAAAGTCTAAACAGGATCGGGTATATTTTGTCACATTAATATATATTTATAGACATAACTCAAATATATATATATATATATATATATATATATATATATATAATTTTTTTTTCATAGCGTTATAAATTATAGACATGATTGTTTCAATGGATTGTAAATTTAATAGTATTTAATTAGTATTTAAATTTAATAGTATTTAATCTGCCAGTATCTAAAGCTGAAAGTTTTACTTGATGTGTTGTTTATGACGTAAATTTCCAAAATGTGTTGTGGAAATTTCAAATTATAAGTTTTTGACCGACGACACGAATGTTCTGACTGAGACGATGATTTCGATAACCGTTTCCAGTCTCGGCCTCTCATTCCCAGACTTCCAGCATCGGCATCAGCCCACCGCGGTGGCGAGAGTGGGAAAGTTTACGTCGTAAACTTCGGGTCTTAAGGGTGGAATTATAGTTCGGCGAAGCGAGCGCTGCGCCACGCAGTTGTTACCACGACGAGCGCTTTAAAAGTTGGTCCCGGCTCTTCGTGTCGGTTCGAGGGGGAACAGGGAAGTGGATTCCGGGGGGAGGGGGGATGCGGAGCGCAGGACGATGTGAAAGGAGCGAGAAGGGGGTGGAGACGCGGTTAAGTTGCCAGGAAACTTTGGTAAAACTGAAAAGTTAATTTCGTCGTGTTAAATTACTCGAGCGCCCGGGCATTAAACTTGCAAAAGTTGGTCGGATGACTGAAATACGTATCCTCCCTCTTCTCTTCTCCTTTACCTTGTCCCCTTCTTTCCCTCTTTGCTTTTGCCTTTGCTAACTGATCTAAGGCGCGCAGAGATAGTGTGATTTGATTGCTTGCTCTGAATTGGAATGCTGTATAAGAAGAAACGAAGTGCTACAAAATACAAGTCATTTAATAATGCATTTAAACATTTATTAATCTACGTAACCAAAATATACTTTAGATTAAATTTATTTATCATCACATTATCTTCTGAATATCGTATAATTGCTCAATTAGTTGATACTCTATTATTGCCTACATTCATATGGACATTGGTATTCCATTAAATGCATTTATCCCGTACATTAAATTTATGTTAAATTACTGTGTATATTTTATCACAATAACATTGATTATTATATGTGGTATCATGTAATAACACTTTTTCGAGAAGTCGATAGTATTTATATTACAAGCGACACAAAAAATGAAGATCATTAATATAAAAATAAAATTTTAAATATGTTTAAAAAGAGACTCAAGTTTTTCATTTTTATTTAATCTTGAAATGAATTGTTATTTTAGAAGTTTTTAATTTATAGGTAAGTTGAAATAATATTTTATATTGAAACTTACAAATAATAACTTTTCATGATTTCATCATTTCTGCCAATCAAATATCAATTTCAAGTTAGTTTTAATTTACGGTCAAAAAGTTTGTTTTTTAGCTTGGAAATATCTTTTACATAAAATCAATTGTTTAACATATTTCAAATTTTATGTTTAAACGCTTATTAAAATAAATTGTGTTACGATGTCTTGTGAAATCTGCTAAGCGAATCCATCGCGGATGTGATCGATTACACTTTATTTAATTCTCGGGTCGCGTTCCAATTCGGTTGAAGTTCAGAAGAGTATGATCGTAACAGGCGATGCACGTTTATGGCAAATCGATTGAGAGGAAATAGGAAGAAACGGAAAGAGTTGAGATATCGTCTTGCAAAAATCTACTTATTCGTCTGATTTATTGTAGGTACAGTGAATTTTTTATTAAAAGATCGTAGATAATTCATGAATTCATCGATATGTAAATCGGAATCGTGCAACGATAATACAATCAGATATGCAGCTTTTCTGAAACAGTTAAAGCGTATTTTAAGAATAAGATTGAAAAAAAGGGATTATCACACAAACTATAATCATCACAAGAAAACTTTAATTTTTAGGTAATTTCAAGCAGATTTATTTTTAATTTTATAAATTTTAGTTATTATTTTAGTTATTATAATTTAATGTTATTATATTATAATGTTATTATAATATTAATATTAATTTATTTAACTAGCATATTTAATATGAAAAATTATGAAGGAAAGATTTACATTATGAAGAAAACAAAGAGCTAGAAAGATGACGCAGTTCATTAAAATATACATCACTGTATATCACTGGCTTGGATACGTTACACTTGTTTTCAGAAATTTTTATTTATTACAAGCATTGTCGATTTCATATCAAGGCTAATTAGAGTTATATGTATGCATTATGGCTGAATGCGTCTAATCGATCGGCACGAGCGGTCGTTGCGACTCGGTGATCAAAGCTGGTAATATTTGCAGCGTATCTACTGTGAATTGCATCAAAATTAATCCAACATATATATATATATATATTGTTCATTTCATAACTGATATTTTGTTATATATCTTTGTTCATTAAATTAAAAGAATAATTAAAGCACAAGTCGTGCAGATCCAAATATTTTTTTAAATTATCAATTAGATTACGTTAATAATAAATAAATTGATTACATATTCACCAAGATGTGAAATTTGTTATCATAATCAATTTTTTTAATTTTATTTATTTAATGAGGATTAGTTATATGCGGAAAGATGTGATAAATGGGCGCGGTTTTGTAACGAGGCTCGTTCGTATTTTAAGGGCGAGAGATAATCTAATTAACAGTTGTTATTACGTGTGCGATGATTTCGGTGGTCGTATTAGAAAGGACACCCTCGTTTTTTTCGCTGACGATTTGGTCGGTAAGGTCACGGTCGTAATCCTCGTCGACATGTACACGTGCTTGCAGCTTGCAGCAGCAAGTGTAGGTGTATTCCATATATGTGTGTGTGTGTGTGTGTGTGTGTGTGTGTGTGTGTGTGTGTGTGTGTGTGTGTGTGTGTGTGTGTGTGTGCGCGCGCGCGTGATTCGTGAGAGCGCGCGATGCGGCGCGTGCGTAAACACGCGAGGGAGAACAAACTTTCGCGACGGCTAGGGGGTGAGCTACCACATCCCCGCGTACACGAGGCAAGAGATGTGTTTCACGCGGGGATTTCGGAATTTATGTGAGAAACGATTCTGAAAAAAATTTTTTTTTGTCTTTTTCTATCAATACAAATATTTGACGTACCTCTGGGAATTAAAATAATAAACTTCAACAAAATTTGCTTAGATCCATTATGTTCGAAATGAATATCAAGAAATTACAAAAATATCTTTGGCTTGAAATAAACGGGTATATTTGATTAATTCCATAAATGATTTTGCACTTGTTTTTACACATTCATAATTTTATTCTTCCGTATGTGTACTTCCACATGCTGTAGAACGGTCGACGATTTTGTAGCTTATCTAACCACGAGAGTTCTCGGATGTCCGATATTTGGATAATCTGAGTCTGGATGTTGCCACAATCACGGTCATGTCCGTGTAGTGGTGAGAGCATGCGCGCCCCGAGCTCTGTCTCCCTTCCGAGTCGATCGCCCATCCTTGTCTCGGAAAACTTTCCGGTGATGAGCTTTGTTGGTCGTTTCCCCAGCAGGACGGAAAAGTTAAATGCGAAAGTTTTATCCGATATCCAGTGCCTTTGCGCCCCTGGAAAAAGGTATCTACGCACATGCCTATCGTTCGGCTTGGTCGCGCGATTACAATCTGTATTTTTTACGAAATTCTCGATACTTATAAATAAAATTCGTACAATGATTCGCGATGCAAGATGATAATATGAATAAACTTTTAATTAAAATTGTTTTAATATTTTTCGGATATTTCTTTGACATAAAGGACGTGAAGAATAACAATGCGAATTTATAGGAATCCGAAATTATAAAAGGGTAACAATAAATTTCGAGTTTCGCGAAAATAATTGTGGATCATAACGGCAAGTTTTTATGTAATTATCGTGTTTGATGAATTGCCAGGAAATCAGACTTATTTTCTCGACATCCAAACTCGTGCGGATATTATAAAGTGCGGATTAATTTGTTGATAGGATGGCGTCGAAGAAAACAAGACAAAATCACTCGATACAGCATCTGCTCGAATTACCATCGAATCGGGAGTCGAAATTATCGCGGTTTCCCGTGAAGGAGCACATTCAACTACCTACACCGCCCATGCCAACCCCTCGCCAAGTCCCGGTGACCGTGTTGCATCCCTCCCCTAAAAAGGTAAGTGGGACACGAGTAATCCGCGGATAATCCGCGACGACAATCGTAGGAGTAACATGCAATCCTTCCGAGGTCCGCACGTACAATTCGTTCGCGCACATAAACAGGTGACATCGTCATGTCTGAGAGACAACATCGGTGATATTTTAAAACCGTACAAATGATTGAGATGCTTAATAATAGAACGTCGAAGAAAAAGATCGCCCTACTTTTTAAGAGCGACATGATTATTATCCCCATTATTATCCCGCGCGGATAAGAATAATCGTTGAGGCAATTAGCTCGTCGAGCATATCGAGTTGAGAGATATTAAGTGATCCTCTTCAAAGAATTTCTTCGTACGACGCTATAACATATTTTTTATGCATCATCGTGAGATCCGATTCATTTTTTTATGATCTGTTGGAAATTTTTCATATTGCGAGATTATTTATGTACGTAGGGCAAAAAAGTGTCTTTTAATTGTAGCAGTAATGATATATTTGAAGAATTTAAAAAATTAAAATTATTAATTAATAAAATCAAAATTGGAGGAGAAAGGAAAAATTTTTTACCGTAAATATTTGTTGTCATACGCGAATGAAAGATTATTGATTATTTCATCTTTGGATCTCCTTATTTTGCACTTGACTAGTAGAAAATTGCGAAACGAGGCCGCAACGTAAAAAGATGAGATCTGCGAGGAACATAAAACGAGACGATTGTAACGGCATAAACCGCTGACGTTTCATATTGTCCCGGTAGCTTTTTTTATCGATCATTTCATACGTGGGACATTGTTATTACTCTGTATAAATGTCGACGCAAGCTTGAATCCATGACGCACAGCGGAAGAGATAATTTTCAGCTTTATCAGTGCCATATTGGAGATCCTGTATTCTCGTTAATAGCACTTTGAACTTATATGATAGATTGTACTGAGGCTAAGCTGATTATAGAAAAAGAATGCATGAAATTATTGTGCAATTTATATAATATCTTTAGATTACCTATTTATCTATTAAGATAAAATATTTTTAATTAACTTTTTTAATTGTGAACTAAATTAATAAAGTTTATTGCTTATTATATACATTAACAACGAATTTATATTTTATTTTAAAAGAGAAAAGGAAAATGGAGATACACTTATTTAAAGAAAATTAAAATTATTCATCAATAGGTGTAATTAAAAATTTAAAATATGTTTAATATTGTTAATATCAAATAAATATCGTTTTAAATAGTTTATTAAAACGTGTTATAATTTTATTATCTTTACTCGAATATGTAATAAATAATTATATCTGTATTTTAATTTTGTGTATTGTGATATTGTATGATTATGATTGTTATTGGAATTAATTTATCTCTACATGTCTTTTATAAAATCTCTGTAGCTAAATATTCTCATTAAATTTGGAGTTGTATTTACATACCGATATTATAATAATTATTTTATCATGCATGGTTATTTTATTACATCTTACTATTGAATGTCGATACGTTTTATTTATTACATAAACCTTTATATATTTATATATTGTAATTTTTTGTTAATAATAACTAATTAATTTACATTATTTTTGTTAGACAAACAATTGTTTAAATATAAATTGTTTTCGTTTCAAAATAAAAATGGGAAATCGTTATCTTGAGTGATTATCTTACCGACTTTATTTGCAATTTTATTATCGGCCGATAAATGTGGTATTTTCATTTATTCTGTACTGACTGAGCTGAATGGACTTTACAACATTTCGATCGATAAGACGAGAGCTGTAGTTGCCAAAGTAGAGCTCTTCTTTAACATCGCGGAATCGTTATAGTTATATAAAATATTAAACATTTAAAATAAAAGATATAATTTTTTGATAAATTCTTTAAACGTTATATTGTTATTGTAAATTACAAAAATATAAACAGAAAATTGTTTTTGAAATTATTAATTTAATTTAATATAAAAATTATAATTTAATAATAATATAAAAATTTGTGTGCTCATCAATAAGCAATAATTTTTATTTTCTTTCAATATACATTCAAATTTTTACAGAAATATAATGGAGTACATAAATAACTGATGCACAGCATTGGACATAATTGTGAGAGGTCTCTCGCGAAAGTAGGAATGGGTGCTTTACGGCCGTATAATTTGCTATTGAAATTCTGTGAATGGAGGTACGATAGAAGCGTCTTGAGCATACGCAAGGTGTTGGGCGGGGACTGAATTTATGATAATTGCATAAATCAGAGCTTTCCTCCACAATAATCATAATCTATTGGGATAGTTGCGCGAAGTTAGCTATTTAGCCGTCGGCAAGGATCAGGAGAAGGAGATCGAGGGGTTGCTCTGCCCGGTCCTGAATAAGATAAAGCCCTTTCTGAGATTGAAGCTAGGAGGGAAACTATTCTTGCCACAAATTATCATAGATGTATTACTTGGATAAAAATAAATAATTTGAGCAATATGTATAGAAATATTAAAAAACAGAATTATAAAAATTTAAAATAATTATATAAAATTTTAATATAATCATAAAGATATTTAATATTGGAAACAGTTTTTTTTTGTATATATATATTTTCAAAAAATAAATGTGTCTGAATAAATTTTTGAAGATCAATAAGAAGTTAGATCAGTAGAAGCGACGAAGTTAATAGTTAGTGCAGCAGAGGGTGCCACCAGCAATTTTCTAGAATTTAGGGGTTGTTTACTCTAAACTCTACACATACAACTCTTATATTTAATTTATTGTAATAAAAAACAGTAATAAATTAAGATATTTTTAATATTTTACAATATTGTAATACACAATATTGTAAAGTAATCTTTATAATAATCTATTATTATAAAAAATTGAATATTAAATTACTTTTTAACATGTAGAGTAAAATTTATAGCCAATTGTAACCTTCTCGAATTAATGCAGTATAATCTAGTCTTATTCTAATAATTTGCACGTTCTGCTATTTTAAATAAAAAATTATGTGCAATTTAAAACATTTAATTTTAAACAATGTCTTTTAATCGGATATACAGTACATTGTTTTTTTTGTCAAATTTTTCTTTATAGCAGAAATACGATTTGAATAATCATATGCAATGTGACTCGTGGTAGTATCAAAAGTTTGGTCATTTACAATTTTAGTCTATGAGACTACAGGAAGCGATTAGGGATCGTATATTGTTTAATGCTTTTGCTAGAAGCAAGTGATACCCCTAAGTTACCGAAATTGACCCTAATGCATCCGATTTTAGTAGCTACTGATGTCAAAATGCCATCAGCCTGGCTTCCTGACTATGGGAAATCGACGGCTGACTGTCATTTCAGAATCACTGGTGATTTCTTTATTAACGGCACGGGTCTTCGCACGGGCGCTGCTGGAATATTAATGTTGAAATCTCCACCGCCTTAACTTTCATGATCGTTATGGTTACGATTACGATTACGAGCAGCCGTTTCTCTTAAAGGGAAACCCTTATCCTGCGCTATATAATATTTTTTTGACATACCATATAATCTCTTATATTCTTGATACGATAATAATTCTCGTTGCAATAAAAAAAGTAATTGTTTTTAATTAGAATTAATCGATGGCTATTTAATAATAGCAACTTCTAAAGACAATTATATTCTAAAATAATACAAACCAGATTTATTTAATTAATTGACGATTATTGTATTAAAGTGTCAATTAATTTATTATAAAAGAGAAAATGTAATTAAAAAATAATTTACTTTGTAATTTAATAATAAAGTAAACAGATATCTGTTTGGGCACGTGCTAATCTCAGGGTAGGTCGGAAAACGCGGCGTTAAAACACCGGAAAACCAACCCTAAATCCGCTTAAGAATACATATTTATTACGGAGATCTGCCTCACTTCGACCGCTTATTCACCTCTTCTATACATACGCTGTCATAATAAAAATAATATTCGGTTTTATATGAGCGTTAAAGTTAATTGATGCGATATAATATGCGATATAATATATTTTAATTGCCGGACAATTTATTTTTATTCAAATCGTACAAAAAAATGTATAACAATTGAAAATAACATTATGAAAAAATAACATTATATTATTGTATTTTTGAATCAATGTCAAATTTTTCAATATACTTCTTTAAATTGTTACGTATTACTATCTGTCAGATGGCCTTGCTCTCTGGAAATGTTCTTCTTTGTATTTTGCAAGATACCGTTAGCGATTCTCTCGAGGGAACCTGAAAAGATGAAGCACAGTACCCTTTAACTTTGTCGAGCTGTCACGTTGATCGGGGTTGGAACGAACCCTCCAATTCACTCGGTGGGAGTAGCCACGCGGTTGAGTGAATTTTTATGAATGAATGCGCGAGGATACGCAGATCCAAGGCTTCGGAATGTGCACCCTGTTTTCACCCCTGTACCTATATTTACGACAGTGACTCTCAGTTGAAAATTTTATCAGGCGTTCGTAACGAAGCGATCGGGCGAGGCAATTTTTTAAATTAGTTGCGCTACTTTAAGGGATGAAATTTCTTGTTAAAAATAGAAGCTTCCGGAATATTATTTTGATCACTAATACATCCTAGTGACCTAGCCTAGATGCTTTTTTTATTGCTTTTTTATAAAACATAGTAGCTGAAAAATATTTATCAAGAGATTCTCGCTTGATTCGCGAAAATTTTTTTAATCACTTTTATCAATATATATATATATATTTGAAATAGTTTTTAATATATTTTTTTATCATGTATGTTTCTCATATTTCTTATTACGTAAAAATAATAATTGTGCACCGACACTGTTGTACTCTTTAGTTACAAAGTGACTCTTATTTGCTGGAGGATCTGAGGTTGAAGGTGTTAGCGGCAGTACAAAAGAAGACTTCACCCTTCATGCCTAGAGGGGAGTTTATAAAAATCGTGTCAATTAGGCTTCGAGAAAGGAAGACAAGCCGGGATATGATGCTGGACGAGTAAGGGTTTTTAATTCCTGTTATAAAGAGATCAGTAGCAGGCAATTTATTTCTC